GGGCCCCCGATTTACTCCCATTAAGCTGTTCAAGTTTGGCTTTTACCTCAGATATGGTAATATCTACCTCCATATTTTTAGTCCCATTTGTTAACTTACCATTATCCCTAAGCTCTTCATTAGCCTCATTAAAGACTGAAGCAAAGTATTTGTTCAAATATTGGGCCATTCCTAGATTATCCTTAACCTCCACTCCATCCTTAGTAATTAGCGGTCCTACTTCTTTTTTTGTTTTTTTCCTATTTATATGGCTATAAAACCTTTTACTATTGGTTTTAATTCCCTTTGCAAGGTCCAACTCTACCTGACTTTTAGCCTCTCTCACTTTGTCCCTACATGCTCTAACCTCAATAAGGTAGCTTTCTTTACTGATCCCTCCCATTTTCCACTCCTTATATGCTTTCTGCTTTTTCTTAATCACCTCTCTGAGATGCTTGCTCATCCAGCTTGGTCTAACACACCTGCCTATAAATTTTTTCCCTTTTCTAGGGATACAGGCTTCTGACAGCTTCTGCAACTTTAACTTAAAATAATTCCAGGCCTCCTCCACTTTAAGGTCCATAATTTCTTTAGTTCAATCAACTTCCCTAACTAATTTCCTTAATTTACTAAAGTTAGCCCTTTTGAAATCAAAAACCCTAGTCTCAGATTTATTTTTGTTTATCCTTCCATTTAATTTAAACTGAATTAGCTCATGATCACTCGAGCCAAGGTTGTCTCCTACAACCATTTCATTTATGAGGTCCTCGCTACTCACCAAAACCAAATTTAAAATAGCATCCGCCCTTGTTGGTTCAGCAACTACTTGATGAAGGAATTCATCAGCTATCACATCTAGGAAAATCTGAGCCCTATTATTACTACTAGCACTTGTTCTCCAGTCTATATCTGGAAAGTTGAAATCTCCCATGATTACGCAGTTTCCATGAGTATTTACTTCATTAAAAACATTAAAGAGGTAGAGTCAAGTGAATGTCTTAAGATGATTGGACTGTCTTCTTGGACTTCATTTTGGGTGAAAGTATGTGGTTCAGTCACACTCAGACTGGATCTCTAGGTACAAGACCCCTGCTCCCAACGTGTTAGGGATAGGTCCAGATCTGTTTTGACATACGCAAGAGTTGCCTTTCAGAAACCCCTGACAACATACATTTCTATTGAGAAGTCAGAAATGGAGTATTCCAAACAAAGCTATTACTTCTTATTTCCTCAAAGATATGAAGCATGTAGGGCAGAGGGAATTAACAGTAAGGCTGCATATGTGGATATTTCTTAAATCTTCATCCATTCCCATTAGCCCAGCTAATGCACTCTCTTGCGGGGAGAGAATCTTTGCAGTTTCCATCTTCCTCTGCCTGTTTTGTCAGCTTTTTTTCTCTTGCAGCTGGACAGCTTCTCCCATTTCATCCAAACCCCTTCATATTCCTTAGGGCCAGTGAGGTTTTTTCCTTTGATTCCCAGGCTTAACCTTAACCATTTACATTGCTACTAGGGATGTTAGCATGTAGTCATTTACAGGATTATCCTAAAAACTACATGCACCCCCCCCCTTTGCTGCTTCTTTATCAGAGGCGGTGGGGGGGGGGAGAAGGAGGAGAAGGGTGGAAGAGGACTCGTGCCCATGAGGGGCCAGCAGAGCCACCTGTACTCTCCCTTCTGCGAAGGGGTAGGGGGGCCCAGGCGGGAGCCAGTTTAAAAGTTGGCTCCCCACAAGCACCAGCTGCTGCAGAGCTGCCTAACCCTTCTGACAGAGAGGCAGCAGTATGGAAGGAGACAGGCAGGAGACTGCACACGCCAAGTTGCCTCTCCCAGCCTGCTGCCTCCCACAGAGCAGCAGCATGGGCAGGGGCAGGCAGGATTCACCTGCCCCTCTGCCCTCCATGCCGCTGACTCTGACAGAGAGGTAGCGGCACGTAAGGTAGGGGATACAGATGTGAGCCGGTACATGTGGGAAGCAGCTTTCAACCTGGCTCTCATACATATTGGCTCCTGCAGAGCCACTTGCCTCCCGTGCTGCTGCCTCTCTGTCAGAGGCAGCAAGGGGGAGGGGCAGGCAAGCACCAGCTCTCACCTGCTCCCCCTCCCACATGTAAATGCATAACCGCTAAAATTTCCAGGAGTTGCACGTTTTACACATTATTTAACATCCTTAATCCCTACTTTGGGATGGAATAAATCAGGTCTTTTCAACTGGGCACAGACTTCCAAATATTACTTACACAAAAGATAATTATGGAAATAGAAAATCTTCAAATGTATTTAAACATCAAAGGCCCATATCCCACAAACACTCACTTAATTAAGCATTCTAATTAATTCTGTTGTGGACCAGATCCGGTCCTTACGCAAAAGGTTAAATGGGTGCACAGCACTTATCACAACTTATCCTCCCAAACAAGGTCAACTCCAAAACAGTTATATGGTGGATCCTCTCAGGAGGAGGATTTAATCCATACTCACTTGTGATCTTTTCCCACAGAATAGAATAGAATAGAATCCTAGACGAGACCTCAGAAGGTCATCAAGACCAGCCCTCTGCCCAAGGCAGACCAACCCCAACTACATCATCCCAGCCAGGGCTCTGTCAAGCTGGGACTTAAAAACCTCTAGGGATGCAGATTCCACCACCTTCCTTGGTAACCCATTCCAGTGCTTCATCACCCTCCTAGTGAAATAGTTTTTCTTAATATCCAACCTAGACCTCCCCCACTGTAACTTGAGACCATTGCTCCTCGTTCTGCCATCCATCACTACTGTGAACAGCCTTTCTCCATCCTCTCTGGAACCTCCCTTAAGGCTGCTACCAAATCTCCCCTCACCCTTCTTTTCTGCAGACTAAGTAAGCCCAAATCCCTCAGCTTCTCCTTGTAGGTCACGTGCTCAAGCCCCCTAATCATTTTGGTTGCCCCCCCGCTGGACCCTCTCCAATGCATCCACATTCTTTTTATAGTGGGGGGCCCCAGAACTGGACACAATACTCCAGATGTGGCCTCACCAGAGCTGAATAAGGGGGAATAATAATTTCTCTAGATCTGCTGGAAATGCTCCTCCTAAATGCACCTTATTATGCCATTAGCATTCTTGGCTACCAAGGCACACTGTTGACTAATATCCAGCTTCTCATCCACTGTAACCTCCGGGTCCTTTTCTGCTGAACTGGTATTAGCCAGTTGGTCCCCAGCCTGTAACAATGCTTGGGATTCTTCCATCTAAAGTGCAGGACTCTGTGCTTGTTGAACCTCATCAGATTTCTTTTGGCCCAATCCTCCAATTTGTCTAGGTCACTCTGGACCCTATCCCTGCCTTCCAACATGTCTTCCGCTCCCCCTAGCTTAGTGTCATCCGTAAACTTGCTGAGGTTGCAATCTGTCACCTCATCCTGGCCATTAATAAAGATGTTGAACAAAACCAGCCCTAGAGGCACTCCACTTGAAACTGACCACCAACCAGACATCAAGCTGTTGATCACTATTCATTGGGTCTGACAATCTAGCCAGCTTTCTATCCACCTTACAGTCCATTTATTCAATCCATACTTACTTAACTTCCCATTTACTTTCTTTAGGTCATGTACCTGAGAGAGGATTTTCAACTATATAGAGGATAACTTGTAAAATCTTTATACATTTAGATAAAACAGACACGAGAAAAATTAATTTTCTAACAAAGGCACAAGAATCAGTCTTTACACAACTGATGACTATATTTTTATCTATATCTATATCTATATACAGTTACAACTTAGATGGCTTTGTAGTGTTTTAATTTATAATAGAAAATGTTTGTTTTTCAAAAATAAACTGAAATATTTTCTTTTTTCTTAAAAAGTGCTTGACATTTACGATACAAAATAACTTTTTTTGAAAACTATACCTTTACTTATTGAATAGACTCCCTGAAATTCAAACCCAAAGTTAAAGCATTTCATTTTTATTTCAAAAATCTGCTATTAATTTCTGTAATGCAAACCTTCTAAACACAATCAGTAAGAGAAAATTTCACTTTTGCTTCAGGATATATATCTTACTTGTTTCTTCTTGCTTTTCCTCCTGGGCCTGGCACTCAATTTTGGTTCCTTGTTTTACAGTCATCAGAATCTGTTCAAGTTGCTCTTGTGTTAAACACACCAAACTGTTCCTTAGATCTTCAGCTAAGGAAGACTTCTCTTTTGGCTTCTTAACAGCAATTTTATTAGGGTTCTGTAAACTAGGTTTTTCTGCAGTATTGTCTTTTTGGATAACCTGTAAATCAGGCTTTCCAGTTGTGTTATCTTTTTGGATAATAAAAGCATGGTTTTTATTTAAGGATTCCTTTGATGAATCTTTAGATGACAAAATCATACAGTTTTTTTCATCTTTAATTGCTGACCACCTCGATTCACTTCTGGGTTTTGATAAAATATGTTCACGCTTGACACAGGAACTTTGTGTTGATTGCAGAATATGTCCAGACTGTTTTGTTCTCAATGGATATTTGAGGATTTTAGCTTTATTACCCATCTGTTAAAACAACAAGAATTTATTTACATTTTACAGGATATTAAGATTAAACTATGGTGTACCTAGTATTTTCCTTCCTTTAGACAGTAAAAGCACTTATTCTACCTCATGTCTAAAACTTAAGAGCCAATTATTTTTCTGCTACATTAGTAGAAAGCATAGTTTACTGAACAGAATGACTCCAGATGAAGAATACTAATGACACTTGGAGGATTTGGCTTCAAGTGTGCATTATTATTAATTTTTAATTTTAATATGAATAGTAAAGCAGTATGGAAATTAGTTTTACAGTATACTCACTTGTCCCATGCTGTTGGTATTAGAGATAATTCCCCCTCTACATTATTCAATTATTTTTGTTAGTAAGAAATCAGAATGAAATTTTAAAAAACTGGTTCTGATCAAAAGCCCTGATTTAAAGTGTGTTTGCATTCAACTGTCAGCTTTCAAACCCTCTGGTGAACAAAACAGAATAATTTTCCTTTAGTAGGCCCAATAATTTCAATTTTTGTCATGGCATAGTGGTGTAGGAATGTCTTCCAGCTGGATAAGCACCATAAATGCCAGGCCATTAAATTGTTACAAGTCACATTTATCTGATTAGGTATGAAAGGCTCAGACAGATGTGGAAACTAGGAAGAGAGACAGTTTTCAGGTAAATATTCTTGAAAAATGTATTTACCTGAGATAAACTACTAACTTCTGCAAACTGAAGGAAAACCACAGAATTATCTAACACTTGTAATTGTAAGAAGTCATGTACATAGAAAAAAATATTTCCTCTCACCTTCTCCAACTTATCCTATCTCCAAAGCAACCTAGAATCCATAAAAATCAGATTTTGTCATCTCAGGCTGAGCTATTATGGTTCACAGTAAGTGGTAAATTAATCCCACAGAAGACTCATGAGCAACTTTTATAGATATGAACAGGAGTTGTATGCAAACATCTGAAGGTACAATGTGTTCCTAAGTAAGGTATCAGAATGACAAAAGGCAAGGTAGCTATTTCATTACAAAGGTTGCTGAAACGTATTAACTGTATAGGAGTTCCTTTAATTCTCTTCTCTATCTCTTTACAGGAGTTCTCCAAAGATCCTCCTCGGTTCTCTCTCCCTTTCTCATGCTACCTCAAATGTATGTTCTTGGGTGGTCTCATCTGCTTCCCTGATCCTTAAACATTCTGTGTGATAATGACTCAATTCACTTGTCACTCACTCACAACTCTTTATCATCTCTTCCTGAAAGTCATATTGTTTTCTTCAAATTAAACATGGCTAAAAAATTAATTTTCTAAAGTGTGGCTGGCACCAGGCATATTTCTTCTCTCTTGGCCTCACTCACACATCAGTTTGTAGTACAGAACAAAGTAAGTTTTGACTATACAAATCTCTCATTTGCCCTTCAGCTTCTGGACCTGACTGTCCCAAATGAGGGAATTTACCAGACCAGAGAAGGTATCCTGCTACCAGCTCCCCTGACCACCTACCCTCCCACTGCCGCGTTCCCGGCCCTAGTACTGGGGCTGCCGTGGCCCCTGCTGAGCTACTGGTACTCCGGAACTGGTCCCAGCCCTAGATATGCCAGGATCCAAGCCACCAGCCTTCTTGGCAATAGGACTCCCAGCCAGGACTCCCCAGTCTAGGAACACCTGTGGTTGTCCTGTATCATGGATGTTGCCTGATGAGGGAGTCCTGGTTTTGAGAGGTCCAACCTGTATTTCAGAAAGTAAGAATGACCTTGTGGTTAAAATACTGGAATAAGATTCAAGAAAATCTGGCTTTAGTACTCAACTTTCAGACTATGTGGCTTCCAATTAATCACTTAATCATCGAAACATTATCCAATAAAATTCACTATACTACTGTCTTTTTTTCAATCTCTCTTCTGACAATTTGTCTAAAATTTTAGTCATACTCCATGAAGTGTATTTTCCAGAGATAGAGGATTTCAAGTCATCTTAATCCTACCTACTTTGTCAGCTACCAGGAGTTTTGACAGTGGAACTTCATTCTTTCTTAATCAACATTGACCACAGATATTTAGACACACCAGACTTACCTTCACTGCGGATTTTGATTTACCCACTGCAAAAACAAAACAAAACAAAAAATAAAAACACGAGAAAAGTCTTCAATAATTAACTTCCCTGAAAACCACAACCTGAGAAATTCATGATCCCACCAGCTTTAAAAGCTATAATTTTATTATGGTTATCTAATCTCTCCTCTAGCCTAATACAGTCCAAAAAACTTTACCTGTAATCTTTGCATCAAAAACTTCTCTTAAATGCAGCATACTTTTAAAAACATATCCAATACTTAAATAAAGGCTTCAACTGAAGGGAAATTCGTTATAAACCTAGGTAAGCTGTTCCAATGCTCTTTCTTTAAAAACGTGAACCTTATTTCTAGTTTGAATTTGTCTACCATCAGCTTCTCACTTGGGATCTCATTATACCTTTGGGCTTGTCCACACAGCTCCTTTTTGCACAAAAGCCTCTTGTGCAAAAAGGCCCCTAATTAATTATGCAAACGAAGCGTGGCAATATGCTAATCCGCACTTCATTTTGCATTGGCTTTTGCACAAGAGAGGTGCAGAGTAGACGTAGCCCACATGTCACCTTAGCATGCAGCAGCAGGGTCAACTTAGGGCTTGTCTACCCAACATGGCAAAGGGCTCTTAAGGGGTATGATTTGTAAAACACTAATTGTCCTGAATCAAGTATCAAAGGGGTAGCTGTGTTAGTCTGAATCTGCAAAAGCACAGAGGAGTCCTGTGGCACCTTATAGACTAACAGATTTGTTGGAGCATAAGCTTTTGTGGGCAAAGACATGCATCGGACAAAGTGGGTCTTTGCCCACAAAAGGTGCTACAGGACTAACTGTCCTGAGTTGACCCTCCTGGCCCATTCCAAAAGGAACCTAGCTTGTAAAAACATAGTTATGTACAGGATCTAATAAAGGCAGTTAGAACACAACATATTAGAGCATTCTACAAATTGCAGCTCTTTAGAGAAAGGATTTTCAAGCTGGGGGTTGCAAGCAGTGTTCACTGTAAGCTGTGTGCTTGGACTGTTGCTCAAGAGAGATCCAAATGCCACCCAGCTGACTGACTGAGCACTTGCAGCCACCCATTGCTGGCAGCATGTATTTCTACTGATGGTGCACATCCACATATGCCTTGGTGCGCACAACAAAATGTATTCCACACATTGATGGAAAATATGGAGGGAACATTAGTTGCAAGGTTACCACATGACCAGGGTGTGAGGGAAGAGAGGGTTTCATGAGCTCTCAACCTTCACTCCAAACCTCACTTTGTCTTTAGCATTTAGAATGGTGTTATAGATATATAAAAAAAGTGCTTTTAATTTATAAGGTTGATCACATTCAAAGGCTTGCTATGTGAAAGACATCACCAGTACAAAAGTTTGAGAACCACTGTTCTACAGCACTTTTCTAAGCCATGTAGACAAGCCCTTGGTGTGTGGAAGGCTAGCATGTTATATATTCACACCCTGGCTTGCCACATACTAAGTCACCCTTTTACTATCAAAAATCTCTTTTCTATGTAGATACTTGTAGACTATAATCAAGTCATCTCTTAACCTTCTCTTGGATAAATTAAACACAATTATCTTATTTAGTCTCTTACTATAAAACATCTCTTCCAAACCTTGATTAATTCTGGTAGCTCTTTTCTGAATCCAATTTTTAATTGTCTTTTTAATTTAAATGGCTTGTTCTCTCTACATTACTGTGTAAGAAATGCCCCCCCCCCAAACACACACCAATTTATTTGAAACTGGGTCTCTTAAGCCACCACAAGAGGTTCCTGATTAATGTCTCACTTGTGTTTGGAAAGCTTTGATATTGTATAGAAAATTGAGATTCTCATAAACGTAGCCTGGATATCCTTGCTCCTTACACATTCGAATATCCCTGGCTCTTTATACATCAGTCTCATGCACTTTATAAAAAAAGAAAAGCTTTTCTTGGACATGATTTTGTATTTTAAATTTTTAATTCATTGCCAATCCAGTGGCAGTGTTCAATCTTGCTTTGTAAGAGCATTTTGGGGTGATTGCTGATTCCAATCCATCAGTGAAGCCCATAAAGATGAGGAGACTGCCAGATGTAACACCTACATTCTAGAAGGAAAAAGCAAGAGGAGGAGGACAGAGTGCCAAAGTGGTTAACAATGTCTACAGTAGGGTTATAAAGAGGTAACTAGTTGACCAGTAAGCATTGCCTTACCAGCATGCTTACTGGGGTAACTGGTTAGTCAGTGCCCTGCCTAGTCAGAGCAGCCCTCCTCCCACAGTGTGGTGGGCTGCTCCAGCCTGGACAGGTTCACAGCACCATGCTGCAACACAGCAGGCTGGATAGCCATATAGTTTAACCAGTTAACATTTTAAACAGGATTTCACATATCCAGTCTAAAGCAGACTGATTGGCTCAAAAAGTAATCCCATAAAATTTTCACTGGCCAAAAATATGGTAAAAATGAAAAATGTAGAAGATGAAAGAGAGGGGCAAGGGCAGAGATCTTCAGGCTTCTGGCAGCCATGTAGTAAACCCTAGGAGATTTTGGGGAAGGGGATTTATACTTAGATATAAAATAGCAATGCTTTATTTTGAACATCAGACTTAGGGTACATTAGTGAATGATTAAACTCAAGAAGTTGTGCAACTCATGCTACTGTCCACTCCACTTATGACATCCTACATTAATATAAACATATCTTTTACTAATCCCTGTGCTAGTCAGCAATACGGATAGCTGACCCTTCAAGAAATCAGAATGGTTCCCAGTGGCCATCTTAATAGAAATACAACCATATTAACTGATGCTGGGATATTAGTGTAAAAGCAATACTTTCCATTAGAGCCATTTAATAATAAACTAATACTGGAAAAGAGATTTTTGCATCTCAGCAGCAACAAAGAGATGTGACTTACATATATTGTTTTTTTAAAATAGAAATGTTCATAAAGTATTGTCCTGTGGTTAGTAATTCATTCCATACCTCAGAGAAAGCTGCACTGTTTTGTAACTTAGAACGAACTAAGTTTACAAAAAACATCCCCCCCAATTAAAACAAAACAAAACAAAACCATGCTCCATCCATTTAAAGACAGCATTGTAAAAATATGGCTGTATTCCTCAAATCTGTGTATAATGATCAATTTGTCTCTGGATATAAAAAAAGTCTCAGCTTTCTTTCCGAAGTCTATCTTAGACTTGTCAATTAATATTTATAACTGAAACCACCCTTGTCAGACAGTACATATGGCTGGCAATGCATGTGATTTATGGAAAATCAAATACAAACCTATGCCAGTAACATTTTGGTGATTATAGGTCCCATAAATAACTATGTATGGAATATTTCCTAAAAACCTTGAATAGTTCTTTCACGTCACTATGCAAAACATTAACACTTAAGCAAAATTAATCATCTTTTTATAAAAGTTTAAAATTTATTGAAGACAAGTGAACGTAATGATTATACATAATAAAAAATCATACCATATGAAGCCAAAATTAGCCTAGGTTTTCCATCCAATATTTCAGTTTCAAGCTTTAATCCATCTCTGTAACACAACAAAAACAGCTAAATTATTTCATACCTTAAATCATCATCAGTAAAGTATGGGAGATCACCGCACAAGGAGAAAAGTGACCTCAGAACAGTTAGATCATATACCTTTTTAAAGTCTGATTGCTTGGTTTTCTATGTTTATATTAAAAATACAAAACTTAAGCAATTCCTTCTTGTAAATATACAAATATTGGGAAATTGCCATAATACTCAAGTACTGATGTACTTTAAGCCTGCACATGTCAAATATACCAGCTGAGCTGGCATCTTTCATTACAGTCATACCTGGTCATATGTGATTTCTGACCTGGTCCAAGAGATGGATAACGGGATAACTGATAATGTGGCAAACTAAAGAAGATTTGTTAAACAATACAAAAAGAACTGATGATAAATGACAGTTAACTCCCACAATTGATTAAAAAAAAATCAAACAGCCCCTGTTGCTGCCAACCCTATCAGGCTCCCAGCCTAGCAGGGCTCGCAGTTGCCAGACCCTTCCTGCCACTGGGCTCCAAGCTGGAACTCCCTGATCCAGGAACATCCATGGTCTGGGAAATCCAACCTGTAGCATTTTTCAATTCACCTCAGATAATTACTGTAGTGTAATCTCTCAATCATGAATGTGCAATTTACAAATGTAGATTTTTTTTTGTTAACACAACAGCATTCAAAAACAAAACAATGTACAAGGTTAGACCAGAGATAGGCAAAAAAATGGCATGGTTTACCAGGGCTAGCCCCTGATGGGCTGCTGCTGCTGTATTTACCTGCTATTGCAGCTCCCATTGGCCATGGATTGCCATTCCCCGAAAATGGGAGCTGCAGAAAGCAGCACGGACTGGGAGCTGCAATCTCCCAGACCTGCTGAAGAAGCAGGTAAATACAGTGGTGGCATCCGACCAGGGGCTAACCTTGGTGAACAGGAGCCAGCCCATGAGCTTGTATAGGTCGGACCTCTCCCATCCAGCATGCTCAGGACCTGACTGGTCCCAGATGAGAGATTTTTCCAGATGAGGGGAGGTCATTTCAGGCCCCCTGCTGCCAATGTCCCCGTCCCCCAGCTTCCAAGCTCCACCCTGCAGCCCAGCTGAGTTGCATGCCAGCTCCTCCCTGCCCCACCACAGCCTCTTCGCTCTTCACCCTCACAAAGCCGTGCACCAGCTTGGCTTCCTCTCGCAGCCCAACTGAATTGCTCCTGGGCACCCACTTCCCTACAGTGCCCCGAGACTCTCCAATCCTAGAACTAGGTTCGATGGGGACAGGTGAGCAAAGCCCACAGGTAAGGGCTGAATGTGCGGGACTGGGAGATGGGTTGGAAATGGGGGGGGGGGACGACTACGGACTATAATGGCAAGGAGAAAGGAGAGTCAGGGCACAACAGGGAGGCAAGATCAAATCAGTATCTTAGATGCCTATATACAAATGCGAGAAGTATGGGTAATAAGCAGGAAGAACTGCAATTCCTAACAAATAAATACAACTATGACATCATTGGTATTACAGAAACCTGGTGGGATAGGACGCATAATTGGAATGTTGGTATGGAAGGGTACGACTTGCTCAGGAAGGACAGACAGAGAAAAAAGGGGGGAGGGGTTGCCTTGTATATTAAAAATGTACACACTTGGACTGAAGTGGAGATGAACGTAGGAGATAGCTGTGTAGAGAGTCTCTGGGTTAAGCTAAAAGGGGTAAAAAACGAGGGTGATATCATGCTAGGAGTCTACTACAGGCCACCTAGCCAGGTGGAAGAGGTGGATGAGGCCTTTTTTAAACAATTAACAAAACTATCCAAAGCCCAAGATTTGGTGGTGATGGGGGACTTCAACTATCCAGACATATGTTGGGAAACTAACACAGCGAGGCACAGGCTATCCAATAAGTTTCTGGACTGCATTGGAGACAACTTTCTGTTTCAGAAGGTTGAAAAAGCTACCAGAGGAGAAGCTGTTCTGGATTTGGTTTTAACAAATAGGGAGGAACTAGTTGAGAACTTGAAAGTGGAAGACAGTATAGGGGACAGTGATCACGAAATAATAGAGTTCATGATCTTAAGGAAAGGTAGAAGGGAGACCAGCACAATTGAGGTTATGGATTTCAGGAAGGCAGATTTTGATAAGCTCAGAGAACTTGTAGGTAAGGTCCCATGGGAAGCAAGACTGAAGGGAAAAACAACTGAGGAGAGTTGGAAGTATTTCAAAGGGACGTTGTTAAGGGCCCAAAAGCAAACAATTCCGCTGTGTAGGAAAGATAGAAAATATGGCAAAAGACCAGCTTGGCTTAACAAGGAGATCTTGCATGATCTCAAAATAAAAAAGGAGTCATATAAAAAATGGAAACTAGGACAACTAACAAAGGATGAATATAGGCAAGCAACACGGGAATGCAGGGGCAAGATTAGAAAGGCAAAGGCACAAAATGAGATCAAACTAGCTACAGGCATAAAGGGAAACAAGAAGACCTTTTATAAATACATTAAAAGCAAGAGGAAGACCAAGGACAGGGTAGGCCCACTGCTTAGTGAGGAGGGAGAAGCAGTAACAGGAAACTTGGAAATGGCGGAGATGCTCAATGACTTCTTTGTTTCGGTCTTCACCGAGAAGTCTGGAGGTGTGCCTAACGTAGTGAATACAAGCAGAGAGAGGGTAAGTTTAGAAGATAGGATACACAAAGAACAAGTTAAAAATCACTTAGGAAAGTTAGATGTCAGCAAGTCACCAGGTCCTGATGAAATGCATCCCAGGATACTCAAGGAGCTGATAGAGGAGGTATCTGAGCCTTTAGCTATGATCTTTGAAAAATCATGGCAGACAGGGGAGATTCCAGAAGACTGGAAAAGGGCAAATATTGTGCCCATCTATAAAAAGGGGAATAAGAACAACCCAGGAAACTACAGACCGGTCAGTTTAACGTCTGTCCCAGGGAAGATAATGGAGCAGGTAATTAAGGAAATCCTATGCAAACACTTGGAAGGTAATAAAGTGATAGGGAATAGCCAGCATGGGTTTGTGAAGAACAAGTCATGCCAAACTAATCTGATAGCTTTCTTTGATAGGATAACGAGCCTTGTGGATAAGGGAGAAGTGGTGGATGTCATATACCTAGACTTTAGTAAGGCATTTGATACGGTCTCGCATGATATTCTTATTGATAAACTAGGCAAATATAACTTAGATAGGGCCACGATAAGGTGGGTGCATAATTGGCTGGATAACCGTAGTCAGAGAGTTGTTGTTAACGGTGCTAAATCCTGCTGGAAAGGGATAACAAGTGGAGTTCCGCAAGGGTCTGTTTTGGGACCCGTACTGTTCAATATCTTCATCAATGATGTAGATATTGGGATAGAAAGTACGCTTATTGGCTACGTCTACACTGGCCCCTTTTTCGGAAGGGGCATGCTAATTTTGAAAGTGGGAATAGGGAAATCCGTGGGGGATTTAAATATCCCCCGCGGATTTAAATAAATATGTCCGCCGCTTTTTTTCCGGCTTGGGACTGGCCCGATCCTTTGAAGTAGGAATAAGAGATCCTCCGGATAAATAGGGCTTTATTCCAGAGGATCGGGCCAGTCTAGACGCTTTTTTTTCTGGATGTTGCTGGATCAGAGAATCCCAGTGTTTACATTTATGGGAAAGACTATTGCCTGCTTCTTACTTACAATATCACCTGAAAGTCAGAACAGATGTACACATGACATTTTTGTAGCTGGCATTGCAAGGTATTTTTATGCCTGATTAGCAATGTAAAATCCCACGTAATTGGTTAACCTAGTCACCAATTAAGGGGGATCATTCTTGTTCCCCCTCCTCCCACTGCAGCCAGGCTGGAGCACTCCAACCACCACAGGAGCAGCCCGTGCATGCAACACACCAGCCGCAGACAAAGGCTGCTCCAAACACTGGGAGCAGTCCCTGTCCATGGTGGGCCCCACCCTGTCTACAGCAAGTGGAGAGCTTCTCCAGCCCCTCTACCAGTTAACCTTTCACATTCCTATGCCAGATATGCTAAACATGTGTCTGCCCCTTCGAGCTTCTGCCATCATTGCAGCCACAAACACACAGAAAAGGTAAAAGTGAAAATAACAGAGTATAAATTGACCACTGAGAGCATCATCCATGGGCTACCCATAAAGTAGTGTTCACTGTGGAAAGAAAAAAAAAAACCACCGGTGAAAATCCCAGTTAGAAAAATTGGGAGCAAAGACCAGAATCCTCCCTCCACGCAGCACCATGTGCAGGGAGGTTTCCTTGACAAAGCCCTGGCTGGGGTGATTTAGTTGGGAGATCAGTGGCCTCCTGAGGTCTCTTCCAACCCCACGATCCGGTGAGTCTACGACTCCAGCCCTGTTACCACCGAGTCGCGAGGAACCCACAGCCACCCACTGAACGCCCCGAACAAAGAGAAAACCACCCACGGGAGGGGAGAGCGCACGAGACGTTGCCGGGGCGCCTCTGAGACGCCGACTCGCCACGTCGCACACTTCACGTTACCTCGTGTCGCAGGCCCTGGCTCTGCCTCTGGCAGCCCCGCCTCGAACCCGGCCACGGGGACAAGGCGCGCCCAGCGCAGAGGAGCCCGAAGCCAGGCGGTTCCCTGCTTACCCCAGGTTCATGGCTCTTCTGCACCCGCAAGACGCCGCGACTCCCGGAAGCGGGTGGAAAGAGGCCGGCGGCCGCTACCCAGAGCCCCCCTGTGGGTGTACGTTGGTAGCTACCCCCCCCCTTACACTGCGGGGCTGGCTTGGCCAGCGTGCGAGGTATTGTGGGGGCTGGAGTCCGGAGCCGCGCCCCTCTCTCTCCCCAGCTGCGGCAATCCAACTTGGCGCTCCTCGCTGGGGCGCTGCTAAGAGCGGGGTTCGGGGTACTCGGGTAGAGCATTGTTGTTCAGCTGTATCGGAGAGAGGGAGGGGTAGATGCAAAGCACTCGTATTGTTTTGGCTCCTGTGTAAATTATTAAGCGATGGAAGGGGACATAAAAAGCCCCGATTCTGCAATGAGTATTGCATGGATAAAAGTCTGGTGTGGATTTCAGGGCTGGCCCGAGGCTGAAATTATTATTAGTAGTATTATTTATTGTTTATTATTTACTATATTATTCACTGTTTATTATTTATTATTTATTAATTTTGCTTGGAAAAATACATTAGGTACAAAAAAGTATTTTAAAACATTCAGGAGGTGGTGTAAATGCACCTAATAGTTCATTGGGAATAAAATAGTTCAATGGGAAACACTTACCTTCCAACTTAATAAAAAGTGGGATTCATTAGTCATCTCTTCCCATCCTCTTCCTTTGTTTCCTATTGAATACTTATAATTGCAGCCTCTACCTTTGTATTGTCATCAATAAGACCTTATGGCAGGGGCGAGGAACCTTTCTTGGCACTGGGCCTCTGACCCACTCAAAAATCAGACCGGGGGCACACAAATGAGAAGACACTCTCCACATTTCCCTTTCACACCAGCCTAATAGATTTTGTGTGCTCCAGCCTCATGGTGAGGCAGCAGGGGGCTGAAGCACCAGTGTGGGCTCTCTAAAGCTGGAGGGGGCTTAGCTTTGGGGGCCAGATCCAGTCCCCAGGCCAGAGGTTCCCTACCCCTGCTTTATGGGAAATGCTTCAGGAGTAGGCCATTAAGAACCCTTGCTTCCTTGACATTGTTTCTTCTTCCTTGACATGACATATTAAAAATACTTTTATTTTTAATAGGAATCTTAATTATTTTTAATCAGAATCATGAAATTTGCACTATTTTTTTCAGGGAGGATGACTTATGATTTCATGGGGGGATTTGACTCTGATTCAGAAATGTGCTTATTCATCTATTTACATCCATCCCTATTCAAGGCAACATTTAAACTCATGATGTGTAAAAGGGAAGTCAAATCCCCCGGAGCCATTGATTCCCCTATGAGGGGCACGTACAATATACATACATTGCTAATGCTTAGATATATTTGCTATTTGTATAGGAGTAAGACATGACAAAGGTCAAGGCCTGTCAAAGTAATAACTTTTATAATAAGGAGACGAGGGGAGGTGAAACCAGTCTTCTGTTAAGTAGAGATATGGATAAAGAGAAAACCACCCACGGGAGGGGAGAGCGCACGAGACGTTGCCGGGGCGCCTCTGAGACGCCGACTCGCCACGTCGCACACTTCACGTTACCTCGTGTCGCAGGCCCTGGCTCTGCCTCTGGCAGCCCCGCCTCGAACCCGGCCACGGGGACAAGGCGCGCCCAGCGCAGAGGAGCCCGAAGCCAGGCGGTTCCCTGCTTACCCCAGGTTCATGGCTCTTCTGCACCCGCAAGACGCCGCGACTCCCGGAAGCGGGTGGAAAGAGGCCGGCGGCCGCTACCCAGAGCCCCCCTGTGGGTGTACGTTGGTAGCTACCCCCCCCCATAGGCTCCGGCCCTCCCGCCAATCAGCTCCCCTTACACTGCGGGGCTGGCTTGGCCAGCGTGCGAGGTATTGTGGGGGCTGGAGTCCGGAGCCGCGCCCCTCTCTCTCCCCAGCTGCGGCAATCCAACTTGGCGCTCCTCGCTGGGGCGCTGCTAAGAGCGGGGTTCGGGGTACTCGGGTAGAGCATTGTTGTTCAGCTGTATCGGAGAGAGGGAGGGGTAGATGCAAAGCACTCGTATTGTTTTGGCTCCTGTGTAAATTATTAAGCGATGGAAGGGGACATAAAAAGCCCCGATTCTGCAATGAGTATTGCATGGATAAAAGTCTGGTGTGGATTTCAGGGCTGGCCCGAGGCTGAAATTATTATTAGTAGTATTATTTATTGTTTATTATTTACTATATTATTCACTGTTTATTATTTATTATTTATTAATTTTGCTTGGAAAAATACATTAGGTACAAAAAAGTATTTTAAAACATTCAGGAGGTGGTGTAAATGCACCTAATAGTTCATTGGGAATAAAATAGTTCAATGGGAAACACTTACCTTCCAACTTAATAAAAAGTGGGATTCATTAGTCATCTCTTCCCATCCTCTTCCTTTGTTTCCTATTGAATACTTATAATTGCAGCCTCTACCTTTGTATTGTCATCAATAAGACCTTATGGCAGGGGCGAGGAACCTTTCTTGGCACTGGGCCTCTGACCCACTCAAAAATCAGACCGGGGGCACACAAATGAGAAGACACTCTCCACATTTCCCTTTCACACCAGCCTAATAGATTTTGTGTGCTCCAGCCTCATGGTGAGGCAGCAGGGGGCTGAAGCACCAGTGTGGGCTCTCTAAAGCTGGAGGGGGCTTAGCTTTGGGGGCCAGATCCAGTCCCCAGGCCAGAGGTTCCCTACCCCTGCTTTATGGGAAATGCTTCAGGAGTAGGCCATTAAGAACCCTTGCTTCCTTGACATTGTTTCTTCTTCCTTGACATGACATATTAAAAATACTTTTATTTTTAATAGGAATCTTAATTATTTTTAATCAGAATCATGAAATTTGCACTATTTTTTTCAGGGAGGATGACTTATGATTTCATGGGGGGATTTGACTCTGATTCAGAAATGTGCTTATTCATCTATTTACATCCATCCCTATTCAAGGCAACATTTAAACTCATGATGTGTAAAAGGGAAGTCAAATCCCCCGGAGCCATTGATTCCCCTATGAGGGGCACGTACAATATACATACATTGCTAATGCTTAGATATATTTGCTATTTGTATAGGAGTAAGACATGACAAAGGTCAAGGCCTGTCACAGGTAATAACTTATAATAAGGAGACGAGGGGAAGTGAAACCAGTCTTCTGTTAAGTAGAGATATGGATAGATTCCACATCCTTTAAACTTGTGACCGGCTCAAGCAGGAAAGGAAAAAGGGAAGTATGGCTCGCCCATTGTTCAGCAAAAGTGAATGAATGTAACTCAGCTGTAACCGCAAAGTCAGCAAGTAGGCACTGTATTTAACCTCATTTGGAAAATTAACCTGACCTATAGGAATGCTAAATGTCAAAGATGAAGTAACCTATCATGTTAAGGCACCTAAACCAGGAAAGATGTGATGTTGGGGGTCGGCTCTGCTTTGAACATTGAGTTCCTTAGCCGTACCTTGGTTGCAACCAATAAACTTGAGTTGGACCCAGCCTGAAAGTGTGACTCTCTTCTTGGGGTAAATCAGACTAGCCTCCAAGGGGACGAAACCAGCAATTTATGCAACACTCATACTTAAATGTGTTTATATCATGGTGATTTCAAAGGAAGTTAGGCACATGAGTACTAGCAATGCTTTCCTGAATTGGAGAGTATTTGGCCCCAGACTCAATATTTATAATGGATCATACACTGGAGTTCTTACTTAAAACTGGAGTTTTACCTGAATAAAGACCACAGGATTTGGCCTGATACAAATAAGTGGCAATTTGATAATGATGGATAATCAGGCTGGGTTTGATATGTGCAGAAAACCCAATGTAGCTGATGCTATTTGGAAATACTTTGGATAATGAATGTGCCATATTAACTAGGGATGTTCAAGTGTAACCAATCAACCGATTAACCAATATGCTAGTGCTTAAGTTCAACTCTGCTCTGCTCCCAGGGAGGTGGCTTCACTGCATCAGCAAAGCCTTCTTCTAGGGAGTGGTGCCAGCAGTCCCTGCCAGCCCAGATCCCAGGCTAGATCTACACAACAGTGTTATTTCAGAATAACTGACGTTATTATGAAATAACAAAATGCACGTCTACACAGTAAGCCATTATTTTGAAATAATATTAAGATGAAAGACTTCTTACTTGGACTCCTGTAACCCTCATTTCATGAGGAATAAGGGAAGTCAAAGGAAGAGAGTTCTTCCTTCAACTTCCTGCTGTGTAGACAGCACCAAAAGCTGAATTAAGCTATTTCGACTTCTCCGCTTCATTTGCATAAACATGGCTGATGCTTTTTTCCGGCTCGGGGCTTTGCCGGCAAAAAGCGCCAGTCTAGACGGGGATCTTTCGGAAAATAAAGCCTTTTCCGAAAGATCCCTTATTCCTGATTTTAAGAGGAATAAGGGATCTTTCCGAAAAGGCTTTATTTTCCGAAAGATCCCCATCTAGACCGGCGCTTTTTGCCGGCAAAGCCCCGAGCCGGAAAAAAGCATCAGCCATGTTTATGCAAAGGAAGCGGGGAAGATTTAAATCCCCGCTTCATTTGCAATTGCACTGTGTCTAATTTGCATCCCTTTTATGGAAAAGGGGTGCAATCTAGACACAGCCCTGAAGTATTAAAAGAAGGAGGAGCTGCTATAGTGGATCAGCTACACAGTTTGCTAACTCTGATATGGACAACAGAAGAGATTCCAAAGGATTGGAGAGAAGGGCTCCTAGTGAAACTCCCTAAATCCAGTGATCTGTCACTGTGGGAAAAGTGGAGACAGATTACCCTTCTGTCTATCCCATGCAAAGTATTAACCAGAGTCATCCTGGAACAAATGAAAGATACCATAGACCACAAACTACGAGATGAACAGGCAAGTTTTAGGAGAGGATGATCTTGCACAGACCAAATAGTAACACTTCGGCTCATCGTAGAACAATGCATTGAATAGCAAGCACCACTCTACATCAACTTCACAGACTTTATGAAAGCCTTCGACAGTGTGGACAAACAGTCCATCTGGACCATCATGCAACATTATGGAGTTCCAGGCAAACTGATTACCATCATCAAGAAACTGTATGAAGAATACTTCTTCCAAGTCATCCAT